CTAGGATTACAGGCGTGAGCCACCGCGCCCGGCCTGATGTTTACTCTTAAATCTTCTTAATCAGAGCATCAGGCTTTTTTCCTTAAAAGAAAGTCAAGTTTCGATAATTCTCCTACTTACCTCATCGGTGTCTTCTTTGCTTTCATTGTGGTCACAACTAAACCAGAGAAAGAAAGAGGGCATTAGGAAGCATCTGAAGCATGATAACATTTGGTTAGCCATGTCTTTCACTCCCTAAAACCAAAGTCCATAAATTAGAGCTAGTTAAAGTTTACATATCCCATGAAAGATAAAGAGGAAATAAAAGTAAGGAAACCCAAAGCCAAAAAATGGTACAGGAAGTAAGTTGGAAAAGAAGCCCAGAGAAACTTCTCTGCTCCTGACAGTAGGAAAATAAACTTCCTTTCCCCAACCTAGAGAGAGTCCTAGAGGAGATGAACCTAGGACCAGCTTATGCTAAATGTCCCAAATCACATTTCAGTCATCTCTACAAAGACACTTCAAAACATGAATTACTGCTCTGAGTGGACTCTACTTACCGGGCTCTCTGCCGTGATCGGACTCATTGTCTTCATCGCTGGAATCAAGAGCGAGAATGAAACTGCAAAAATAAAAGATACTTTTTAAAAGGAATGCTACCAGCATCGTAAGCAACCAAACATCACAAATCTCAAGTAAGTGAAGAGAACAACCAATCAGAGTTTCTGAAATACAAAGAGGTTTGCGGGGCTTTAAGCCTTTATGAAGTTAGGATCACAATAGTGGAGGTAAAAAAAAAAAAAAAATTAGAAGCAACAAGCTGCTAAGTAGTCTTTACTGCTGAATCAGAGATAGGGGAAGAATGTTAGCCGAGTAACATTAGCTGTCAGTGAGAAGCCTGTTTTCTGCCAAGTGATTTATTTCTATTTAAAGATATGAAAGCGAGTCCTGAGAAAGGGGCCGTGGGCAAAAGGGCTTGAGGATGAAGAGATTGCAGTTAAAAATCAAAAGGTTTAAAATAAAATTTTGCTCTAAGTTTGACCAGATTAAAAAAAAAGGGGGGGGGTAAAGGAGCAAGGAGGTCCCCTTTTAGGGTGTTACCGCTTGGAGAGCATCTACTGATGAGCTTCCTATCTAGGTAAATGGCCAAGGACTCAAGTCCATTTCTTGGGGAGCCAACAAAGGATGTTTTCAAAGCTGCAACTGCTCCCTGCAGTGAGCCAAGATGTCGGGGCCTCTCGCTTCTCTGCCTCGTGAGATGCCAGTGGGCCCAGCATGCGTTCTCCACTGCTCATGCAAGGCCACTTTGCCTGTGGCTGTCGCCTACCAGACGGCTGTGCATACTGCCCGAGGTGAAGCCAAGCGCATTCCCGTTCAGGACCCTTCAGCTCCCCGGACAGCAGCTGACTGGATATCCCACTGTCAGCCGCTCATTACGCAGGGCCGAACTCCAGCCCGGAGGAGCCGCGGAGCCACGCTGCAGTAAGCATCGCTTCACTGCTGGAGCCTGGCTGCATCGGAGGTAACCTTGTCATCAGTTATTGTGACACACAGCCACAGAGGGTATCAAAATGCAGAGGAGGTAGACGTAATCGCTCTAAAGGAAGTCCAGGTTTCGCATATCAAAAGTTAGACTTAGCCAGCACGGGGACTCACGCCTGTAATCCTAGCACTTTGGGAGGCCAAGGCGGGAAGGATCGCCTGAGCAACGACGAGACCCCATCTCTACAAAAAATAGAAAAATGAGCCGGGCATAGTGGGCACCTGCAG